CTGACTTTACTGCTGTAGGAAGTCTTTCATCAACAAGATATAGAGCTGTTACTTTACACGAATTTCAATACGGAATGGGCAATAGACGGGATAGGTAGTGTAAGTCCTTGGAATTGGAAAAAACACTTGTGTTTTTCGATTTTTTAATAACCTCAATTTGCTTAATGTATACAAGAAAAATATTTAATAGCTAATTATTTTTACTAGCTATGCCCGCGGTTTCACCCACATGAAATTTAAAGAAAGCTTATATATATTACTGTAAAATTTCATCAAAATCCGTTCGGTACTTTTTGCGTGAAAGTGTAACAAACATCCATCCATACTCACAAGCTTTCGGATTTATAATATTAGTACCGTAACACTAACTCATTAATAAATATTGTACACCTAATGCTCAGATGGCAATCAAGACTGCAACGTCTGTTGCATTTTAATAATTTAGATAAAATTAATAATTTGGCCTCTCGGGTAGATTTTTGGGGACACACAAAGTATTTCCACTATAAATATGTGCATAGCATTCTTCATTCAAGATCCAATAATAATTATTGTGAGGGTAAATATTTGCAAAGCATGTCCAGTAGGTGAACTTGCATTTGCGCCAACATGTATTCTAATATATATCGAAAGGTATCTGCAATATCCTTGCAATCTGCGTGATGTGAAGTTTAATAATTCCTACGGTTGGGTATTGTGATTCTACTAGCAATTGTACGAGATTTTATAATTCTGGTGTAGTTAGTTGATTTTTAAATAATAATTTCTTAGTAGAGCTTCCTAGAAGTTGTATTTCAAATTATTGTTCTTCGATATTAACGGAAAACGTTTTTATAATCATAGACTGTTTTTATTATTCTATTCTAAAGTCAATACTATCATTATTATATTGTTATGATTCTAATCTAGTATAAAATTTCATTAAATAATTGTATACTTTTTATTACGTATTAGGAAAAACCGCACTGTATTATATACTCTGTTCAGCGCGACGGTTGACCGGTAGAGAATGCAACCAGATGTTTACAGTTTTTATATGTGCATACATAAAGAAGAAATAAATAAATAAATAAAATTATCATTGTATATTGATCTTGAGATATTGGAAGTAGTACTTTAACCCAGTTCATAGTTACATCACTCGTGTCAATGTCACTCGGTATTACTGAATGTTCGCATGTAACTGTCTCAGAACTGAACTAACGGGTTGCATGATGATTGTCAGCAGTCATCGGAGCGTGGTATTACGGACTATACAAGTGTCAAGCTTGTTTGTTTTTAGTTAACATGTAATCATGGTAATGATAGGTGCATTTACTGTTACACTTTGTTGCAACTGCGAATACGAAACAATAAGGTTTGTCTGTATTCACTGATTAAAGAGTAACTAACTACTGTCTGTAGTTACTCTTGAAGTCTCTGGTAGAAGGATCCTACCTAATTGTAAGCGGTTACTGTCACTACATGAATGGCACTACGGCCATTATCACATTATCATTTGACACCCGTGATACCACTAATGCTTGGTTATTCTAGAGTACTAAGATGTCAAGCATTTTATTCTGTAACTTACACTACTTAATTAATTACACTTTACAACTAAAACGCAGTATACAAAATTATTCAACCTATTAATTTATAAATATATATTCGATTATACAACGGGTTCATTTTTTAAAATAGAGTCTTGGAATTATAGAATTCAACTGTTTCTTTATAGGCACGTAATTAGAATTTTGATAAATCTGAATGGAATTTGATGTCATCCTTGAATTGTATGTACAGTTTTATTAGTTTTAATCAATACTTCATAATAGTTCACATTAATATGTAATATATTGTGTCATTTTCTTTCAATTAATTTTTTAAATAACTGTTATAATAATGTAGTGTATAATAAATGTGTAGTAGAAAATTGTAAGTTTGGTGAAGGTGTTACTGTTTAGAAATAAAGAGAGTAAGTAGGTATAATATAGATAATCTATTCACATCATTTATAACTATCTAAGAATAATAAGACAAATTTATTCCATCGAAATAAACTCACATAAAAAGACCTGATCACGTTTAGGCTTATAATTGTACCCAACATTGTAGCGTAGGCAAGAAGGAAGGTTGTCGCCCGCTCCCGGGTTAATTAGATTTATATAATGGTGTTTATCCTCACTGGAAAGTTAGTTGGCAAATCATACACGCACGAAGTTGAAGCCTCGGTCAGAATTAAACTCACGATCACTTAATTCTCTTTGAGCGGAAGCGATCAAATTAAGTATTTCAGCAACATAGTAGGTCTATAACATATTGCTAAAATATAGTTAGGCAATGTAGGCATGCAAATTTGATTCAAAGTTTCTCCATTTTGTACTGTATACATGAATTAGATTGCATAAAAATAGTTTAAAATTGTTGAATATTTAATATATTAGCCTACTTTTAAGTACTAAATTAGTGATTTTAATGTTTTACAGGGTCAGGGGTTACACACGTAAAGAGGTTAAACGATACATGTGTAAATAAATATGTTTTAATAATGTTTGTTCTATAAAAATAACTTTAATATGCGTCGTATAAACACACACAAATATAATAATAACACTTTACAACAGATAACAAGACAATCTATACCTAATCAAAATATAATATATATATTACAAAGTGCAATAGAAAAGACAGTCATATAAATAGTAATATGGTACAGTTGACTTAGTAAATAAATAAAAAAAAATTGTCGAATTAAAAGTTAAATTGGAATCGAAGAATTCGAATCGATTCAGGAAGGCTTGTCGAAGATCGTAATGTACAGTCGAATTGTCAACGTCTTCTTAGCAACCTTTAAAATATTTTTTTATAACCAATTTCTGTTACTATATAAAAATGGTATTTCCATATATATAGCATAATATTTATATATATGCAATAAGTGTTGAAGTATGTTTATGTTTTTACCTGTACAACTCTCACTCTCGACTCTCCGCTGAGCTCGACTTCCTCTCAGCTGCTTAAAACTTATCTGGAAGTGATCCCTCTTTAGGATAAGTTCGACGTTGAAACTTTTTGTTTCATACGAAATATTTGCAATGATAGTCCTATAGTACAACATATCTATAAAGATATTTTTTTCAATAGAATATTATATTACATATATATATTGGAAAATATTTTTTTTAATTTTTAATTAAATATTCAGAATCTATTATTAATACCGTTTTTGTTATTGGAATATATGGTTAGAGGTTTCTGTATACAGAAAATGTTAAATTTGCATTTAGTTAAATCTTAAATGTGGAATTAACTATAGACAGTAAAGAAGTTATAGTAAAGTCAATAACAAACAGCTAGGTGTAGCTACTCGTAGGTAAGTAAACGTCTAGATGTTTGAATCGAGGTCTTGTATTTGACTCATAGTCTGAAGACATTCATTAACATTTAATTTAATAAGACAGCGGCGTATTCGAGTTACTGTTACAAAAAATGTTTTAAGGAGTCAATGAACATGAGAAAGTCATAAAAACATACCTATTCTCGTATACGTGTTATGGTATAGGTCACGTTACTAAAATGTATGTTTTTATTTTATTTTCTTAAGTGGCGTGTATATTACAAAAATAATCACATTTGCGTTCCAATAATAACACGCGTAATAATTACGTAAGTTTTGCCAAGGTAAGGGTGCAAATAAATAATCTTCTAGAATGAATGATTCTTTAATAAATTAACTATTATTTTATCTAATATATGATATTTTTAAATGATCTAACATGACACCATGTTAGATAATTTAAAAATGCACAAAATATATAAGACAAGATGGTTTATTTATAAATGTGCGAAAATAGGACTAATAACTATCAGTTTGAGAAATTTCTATGCAAACGGTTCTTTTACAGTAAAAATGTTAAAATGTTAGATAAATATATATCAGTGGAATTGTACATTAATAATTCAACTGTATTAAAAATCTCCGGTCTCATTAATTCTTTGAAAACAATTTAGCAAAGAAGTTGCAGGTCTTACCATTTGCATTTGATGTATGTTATGAGGGTCATAATGCGTTGCTCTTTCAAATAAATTACAATGTATTATTAATACCTTACATAACTCATATATCACCTTTAAAGTTGAGTGACCTGCATAAACAGCCAACTGACTAGATATCAGGTGTCCCACATATTTTGTCCGCAAACAACTTGTCAAAACACAACGGAACCGAGCACTTCTCAGCATGAGGTCAAAGAAATGTGTCTCACACGAATGCGATGTGTAATTTTTAAGTGAAATAATATACATCAATCCATCCTCAGTATTATATTTTATAGTATCGGGAATAAACCAAGCGATATATACGGAACAAAAAAAGAATCTGTGAGTCAATATGCGATAGACAACTTGTAGTTCTAGTTTATGCGACAATGACCGTGGTACGACTTGTCCAACTGGTTTATTTTGCTATACAGTTTTTTTATGACCGTTGATAATTATCACTTTGTTTGCATTCTTTTGATTTTCTTAGTTGGTAGGCGGAGGCTATTATGAGAATATTGTGGTTATTAACTAGGCCTCTATTTACACTAGTTTTATTGAGGCTACACTATCGGTTACATATTATATCAATAGCAACATATAGCAGTATTTTATATTAATAAACGTAATTAGCGAATATTTTATTTACTAAAAAAGAATTACCTACGTTATTTTTGAGAATAATAATAATTTTATATTATTCTGCGAAACTAGGCATTGCAAACATTATTATTAAATAATAAATAAATATAATTAGTAATATGTAAATAGTTATTCATGAAATATTTTTTGTATATACATATATGTGTATTTCAGGATGTTTTCGGAGTGTTCATTCTGCACCAATTTTGAATTTACATTCGAAAATGTACAGAGAATAGTATAGTGTTAGTTTCATATTTATTTTGTAATCATTGAAGTAGATTCTTTAGTAATGAAGAATTAAACAATCTTATAAAAGTGTTTGTGTGCATTTCCAGGTGTAACTGCAGTGCATGGACGGGAAAGATGCGTGTGCCACTGTTACTTTTGGTTACTGCCACGTGCGCACTCGCCATCAACTCTAATGAAGAAGAAGAACGGTAGGTTACACTGTTTGCTAGTCAATTTAACATCTAAATAAGCCTAAAAATATATGAATATTTCTGACTCTGTTCACTGAGATGCATATGGACTGTAGTGAGATGACAAGTCGTCTGCGTAGATACGTCTGTTTCACCTATTCTTGTCATGAAATTTGCTTTGCTCTGTTTTGGATTTTAAGAGTGAGAGATTCTAGTGTAATTACTAGGTACGGAGGCATGATACCTCAATTCTCACAGATAGGAATGCATTAGAAGAACCGGAACAGGTATTACGTCCCAAATGCTGTTCATATTTATAGGTTATTTATTTAGTTTTATTATGTTTCTGTCCCAGTTATATGAAACATGTGTAAATAATTACCAAAATATAGAGGCCCTTTCTAAAACGCACCTATTCTATATAATGACATTAAGATCTTTTGCCAATTGTTGTGATTATTATTCAAGTAAAACTTAGTAACATTGTACCTATTATATTAAAGGTGTAGATTTCCAATTTGACTTTTATACGTGTATGATACCTGATATTTTCCCACATATCTTGAATAGCTTTTGATCATTCCTGTATTGAAGGAAAGGGTCTACACTCAAGAAGAATTCGTATCAATTTTCTCAAGAGTGAATTCGGTAGTTTTTGCATAGAATCTTAAAATACAATAAATGATGCTGTGTTATGATTAGGTTAGGTTAAGATATGGATATTATTCTTAAAACTGCATAGCTTATATTGAATATTCAATTATCGCCAGGAAACGTGTTTTTCTGAGATTTATTTCTTAATGTAGTAAAGGTTTTATTATATTAACAAATAAATCTCAGACTAAGGGTTATTATTAATTTTATTTTATTACAAATTACAATTGTGCACATAATTATGCCAATTGTCTCAGTACTATTTCGCTGTAAATTTAATCACAACTTCAAAAAATAACAGATATGTAGGTACTATATTATTTGTGCAAACTCAATGTTTGTTATTATCAAGAATACTACATATAAAATTTTATAATAAGTTGTTTTTAATAACAGTAGCAAGTAGTAATATCTTCTTTTATAAGAATGATCTTGCAGTGAAAATTTATGGGTTTACATGATATGACACATATATAATATAGGTGTTTTTCTCCTATTATTATGTTATATTTAAAGTAAAATATATTTTGTATTTTCAGACGATCTAAGCTACCATTCGTTGCCGACGCTGTGGGCAATGCTCTTCCTCCACCTTCAAGTGTACCAGCAACAGTAGGAAGTCCGGTAAATCTTTTGACGCCTGATCGATACGAGTTCTATACTTTCGATGAATCTGGTGAGCTCGTCAAGAGACTAATGACTTTAGAAGAAATACAGGCGATAGTTGCTGCAGGTGAAGATGCCGATGGCTTGGTCACATTTGCTAATGACAATCAACCAACTGTAGCTTTTAACTTTAGTCAACCTGCATATACGAAAGTACACAATGTAGTTACTAACGTACAAAACGTATTAAAAGCTCAAATGGAAGCACATAAAAATAAACCTCAAATACAACCTACTTTGGACACACCTGATGTTTCAGATTCATGGAGTCTCATTTTACCATCAATATTTGGCAATACTGGTAGTGTCGACATAGTTCCAGATAAAATTCAACATGCAGGTACTTTTACAACACCGGACACAGAAACTATAGAATTCAGTCATCATAATATAGACTCATATGATAATTCTATTGGTAAGGAAGGCAGTAATAATTTAATCAGTTCAACAATTACAGCAGACGAAGAACCTAAGGTTGTATCTGTGACCGAAAAATTACTTCCGGTGATTAATGAAGTTAAAGCAGTGCCGACTACAATCATAAGTACTACGAGTACACCAACAACGACTAGTAAGCCAACAACTACCAGTAAGCCAATAACTACCAGTAAGCCAACAACTACCAGTAAGCCAACAACTACCAGTAAGCCAATTACTACCAGTAAGCCCATTACTACCAGCAAGCCCATTACTACCAGTAAGCCCATTACTACCATAAAAACATTAGCTACAACAGTTACTCCTAAACCAGTTATCACTACGGTGAGAACATCAAAACCGATCATCAAATCTACTACAACTAGTAATCCGATATTTACAACTACAAATACAACGAAAGCTATTATTTCTGCAGAAAATTCTAATAGTACATCCATTATTCCAAGCACTACAACAACTACAACAACAACAACTACTACTACTATAAAGCCACGTATTACCATATCAACAACTGATAAACCACGCATAACTACAACTAGTCTAAAGTCAAGTACTACTTCTGAAACAATAGTAAAAATAACTCCTAAAATTACAACACTAAGACCTACGACGCAACCTCAAAAACAGTCTGACCATAAACTCAATAAGATTCAAATTCAACTAAATTCCAACAATACTTCTGAAATAAATAATAATAATACGCATTACGAAAAATTAAGTACAGTCGTTCCGATGTCAACAACAACGTACGCAGTAACAAAAACTACTGGAAAACCAATGCAAATCACGAAATCTGATATTACATATGCTAGTACTACTAAAAGAGCAGTGCCAATGCCTACAAGATTACCACTTACTACTACAGTAAAAAATAAAATTTTTACAACTTCCAAACCATCATCAACCCATTTCACTTCTATTACTTCAACAATGAAACCAATAGAGGAAGATAATGAAAAAATAAATACAACTACAGTAACCACTCAGTCTGTATCTCCTTCGACTACTGTATCTTCAACTGAATTTCTATATACAGATAAAATAAGTGATTTAAATGTTCATCAAACCGACGTCGATATTTCTGATAAAAATATACCGAATTTACCTTTATTTGATGTAGCTCAAAGCATTAGTCAAATTGCGTCGGATCTGGGTGGAAACTACAGACCACTACCAACGTCTAGTTATTTATTAGATACAACAAAAATTAATGGTATTAATTTAGAAAGTAAGGAAAGCTTAGAAATGGACATTCCTATCGACACCCAAATTGATTCTGAAACAAAATCCTCAAATAACACAGAAAGCAATAATTATATAAAAATTTCTACCCTAGATCCTCATCATCAGAACAATGTAAATAATAAATCTGAAGATTTTTCATCGAAAAATATTAGTACCACTACAATTGAAACAACAGAAAAAATAGAATCTACTACGGCATTATCTGAAAAAACAACAATTGACCCAATCCTGTCGGAGTCTATGGGTGACTTGTTATCACAAATAGTTAATCAACCACAAACAATTTTGACTACTGAAAAACATGCAAACGATATAAAATCAGAAACGACGGAAAAAAACTTAGAAACTACATCTCATGATTCTTTAGATAATATAAAAACTACAGTCTTTCCTAGTGTTGATGAAAAACAAGAACTTACAACCGTATCCCAAGAAGTAAATTCTGATTTACCAAATATTGAAAATAGAATTGCAGTAAATGACAATATTAGTGGCATATCAAATAATGCAATACTCGTTAACAAAACTGACATTCAAAAGGAAATCAAAGAAAGTAACAAAAAATATATTGAAATTTCAGCTTCGGATAGTAACAAAAATGCAACGATAGTAAACCTATCCCACGTTATAAATGAAAGTAATACAAACAAAAAACCAGACGATAAAGAAACTAATAATTTCCTTAATAGTGTAAAGAACCCTACTGTGACATTAGTAGATGCTATTAAATCTGAAACGACGACTGAAATATTATCTAAAACAGAACCAACGACGACTGAATATAGTACATCATCAATTACAGAAAGCACTACAATATTGGCTCTGCCTATTAAAAATAAATATGAATCAAGTAATAATAAGTTAACTAATAATTATAAAGATAAACTGCATGAATTATTACCCAAAATAGAAGAATTTAAAAAGAAAATTCAGAAAGTGAATATTGATGACAAAGAATTAGCTGCAGAACGCAATAATACGTGGAAACTGATATCAACTGTTACGCCTCCTAAAACTAATGAAATACCTAAAGATAAATTAAAAAATGAGGTCCACCATTCATCAAATGCTCATAAAGACATAATTTTAGATTTCTCAAAAGAAAATCAAGGTCTCGAAGTTACAACGAAGGATCTAGGAGAAGATATTTCCCAATTTACAGAATTATGTAATGAATTAGCATTTAGATATTGGAATGCAATAGTCGAGAACATCGATAAAAGAAGAAGTTTTATATTGTCCCCTTACTCCATAACTTCAATGTTAGCTATGATGTTTATGGGGGCAAGAGGTGCAACATCCGGTGAAATGAATGAAATTCTGAAGTTGGATGAGATGGTGACATTTAATCCACATTTTACTTTAAAAAACATTTCCGATTCCATAGAAACTTCCCCAGTGGCTGGTGTTATTGTTTCAGCATTTGTAAGAGAACTTTATAGTGATAGAAACAAAGGAAAAATTTTGACGTTTTATAAAGAAAGAGCTCAACACTTTTATAATGGCCATGTCGAAGAAATAAACTTTAAATTAATTGGCGATATTATAAGAAGAAGAACGAATTTACTAGTGAAAAGATATACGTGGGGAAAAATTCCTGAGTATATGAAATCTAATTCCATTAATATGCAACCACCGTTAGCTGCTTTTTCTGCTAATATTTTCCAGGTTAGTTTATGTTTGTTATATTTTACTATATACTCTGAAATTAAATGGAGTTATTAATTCTTAAATTATCTCATTTCAGACGGACTGCTCAGGATCTTCTGTCGAGGGAAGAGATGGTGAAATGTATTTTGTAGTATCTCCGAATGTGCGACAAAGGCGACTTGTTCCAGTGCCAGCAGTAGTTTATAAAAATGGATTTTTAGCGGGATACGATCCAGTACTAGATGCTACTGCCGCTGCTCTAGGAAATACTAACTCCGTGATTAGTACACTGTTCGTGATGCCAGGACAACAAGGTAACGTTGTCCATTCAGAAGATCTGGAAGGTTTAGAACAGCGTTTGCTGGATGCCAATCCATCGACACCGGCATGGAACAGGTTATTACGTACTTTGCTTCCAAGAATAGGTTTAGAACTTCAAATTCCAAGATTTTCCCATAAATCTATCTTCAACGTGTCATCGACATTACGAAAAATGGGATTGAAAGACTTATTTGATGCAGAACAAGCAGATTTAGGTGGTTTGAATGGCCCGTCAAAAGATCTTTATTTATCCGATATGATTCAGACTACAACATTTGTGACTTGTGGAGAAGGTGTTATAGGGGACCAACATCATGTGGAAGAGTATCCTGAATCATTAGGAGTAACAGCAAAACGTCGCTCTTCTAGATGGGCAAATGATTGGGATGAGCCAAGAGATTATCAGCGAGCTTTTCATGACCCACACGATGTCGGAGAGGCCATGCATTTACCGCTACACCTCCGTCCGCGACAGGCACGTCTTCCTGCAAGAGACGCTCAGCCAGCTCGATTAAAATTCGACAGGCCTTTCCTTTACTTCGTAAGGCACAATCCATCTGGCATGATATTATATGTCGGCAGATACAATCCACGGCTTCTGCCGTGAAGACATTAAAAAGACTGTTAGTTTAGTGTAATTAATTAATTCCTACAAGGAAAGTGATAAGGGAATATACTGGCGCGTGTGATATATGGAGATGTTTATCGACGAGCATTTACGTGACAGTATTACTTATAAGTGTATCAATACAGTTGGACAGGTCTTAGTCTGTATGGTACTTGTATTCGTATCCCAATTCATATCAAAATGTGTGTACAAAAGGGTGGTAATGATAAATATTATAATTAGTTAATTTTAGTATAATAATATTAGGATGCAGATATGTGCATAGTATGTCTGAAAGAATATTTCATCTCATTGTCATTAATTTCTATTTAGAATAAATGCGATGTTTCGTGTACATAATTTTATTTTTGATGTCATTTCCTTAGAAAATAAGTACGACATTCGTCATAAAATTGTTTTTGCTCAGAACATTCTTTACTATTTATTGGAACGGGACAATCCTGTAAGGAGAGAAAAATAAATTGTTAGTAATATAAGTGGAATATACATATTTCATTATCTTAAAATAAAATAAAAACTGCGTATCACAACGATTTATATGTTTCAGATAAAATAGTAAAACTTCCGAACATTACTGAAATTATATGAATCATATCGACCGATATTGTTTATACATAGATAAAAGATGGAGAAACTGTTCCAGTTTCAGAAGTGGGTACTAACCATATTAATGCTGTCTCTTATGCAGAAATGAAAATTGTAGAATTCACAGATCTTTAGAGGCATAAAGAATTTGTAAGTTTGTTTACAATGTACTTTGGCATTTAACAATACAGTAGTAAATGCAGGGTTTAAGTCGACCCATTTATCAAGATGGTTATAATATTTCTCGTCATCTAGAAAGTCTTCATCAGTAACTATACCGTATTTTGACAAAATACATCGCCAGTGTTCGCACTGCAAAAAGTAAATAGAACTATAATACTACATATTATTAATAATTGTATACATCTGTTTCTTCGAATGAAAACATGATAATAAATATGAATTTAAGAAAAATATTATTTAATTTTGGTACTTCTGCTTTTTCTGAGATAAAATATAACCTGCGGTCGTTGTTGTAATACAATAAAACTTCATGACAATTTTCATTAATTCTGCTGGTTAATCGTGTAAAGGTTAGATAGATTTCGCGTTTAGGATATTAATATTAATGAAATAGGTTTATACTTACACCTGTGATGGCGTGTCTTCTAAGACCAGTGACATTATTTTGTCCATCTCTAAATGTCAAAGCAAAAATGGCTCCGCAGGTTTTGGCTACGTCTCGCGCAAAAAATGGTGGAAATATACAGCATTGACGTGTCTGTATGAAAATTACAATATAAATAATATAAGTTAACCTATACAGAATTAACTGACATGAAATTCTAAGTTTTACCAATAACTCTGGGGCAGCGTGACAACTATCCGGCTTCCCAGGATCTTCTACTTCAATCTGACATATGACCTAGAATAAAGTTTTTGTAGTTAAGTTACAAGTAGTACTTAAATCACAATAAATCCGACAAATATGAAAAGGATGGTTCATTTATAACTAATGAGGTAGGTATTTAATTTGATATACAAGCACAGACACAAAGAGGAAAAACTAGATACTTAACAATATAGAACTGTATTTCAGAGTGTTGACACTTGTTGATGATATGTATGATTGCAAACAATGTTAATACTACATTTGCTGCCCAATATACTACCAAATAATGAATTGACACAAACGAATTATACTTACGTATATTAACACATTAAACATTATTATACATTTAATATTTGTGTGATACGCCATTTTTTAAAGATATAATTCAATATTAGTATTTATTAAACTCTATGTAATGTCCCAATCGGAGTACAAATCGAAACTGATTGCATCGATCAATACAATCGATATTTTTTTTAAACTTAGACCGTGTTTTAAAAACATTGAAGTTATATAAAAAGCATAGTATCAGTTTACGTAATTGTAATGCAATTCATTATACAAACTATAAACTACTTATTATAGTAATGGTACGAACAGTACTATTGTTATATTCTATGGTAATACAAAGATAAACTGACATAAACTGGTAATGAACTTGAAATAATGGCTATTATTGAAGATTTAAACATTAATAGAAATTTTATCGAATATTCATAATTTAACGAATTATGATGAAAAACAAAAACGTTTTGCGTATCTAGACGACAGTGTTTTGAGTTAGCCAAAACACTACCTCTAGATACGCAAAACGTTTTTTTACAGAACTTTATCTCAATTTCTCTGTCATATGCACAGGTCTTATTGTTTACACATAAGTTTACATTCTTATATATAAAAATAAAATTCTCATGTCACAATATAACTAACATGAGACTTTTGTTTTTACCATACTCCTGTGAAACGGCTTGATTGATTTTTATGAAATTTGCATATTCTGTAGGCCTGAGAATCGGTTACTAACTATTTTTAATACCCCTAAGTGATAAGGATTGTCCACATCTAACATTTATTTTTATTCTTTTATAATGTGACATTAAAATACATACAACTCTAAAATTTTCACCCTATTCTATCACCAGCCACTATTTTTTAATAGCGACTTTAATTTATTTAGTAAAACCACGTTTTCGGGGTCCGTATCTCTCTCTCTATCGAAAAATTATAATATACTTTACTTCGGTAGTTAACAAATTTTACTTTAATGAAAGATAACATATCAATTGCAGTACCCAAAAAATATTACCATCATAATCACATTAAAATATCTGAATAGGTATATTTCTAGTTCCAATCATCGACACTTCAACGCAATAATTAGAGGTTAATGGATAATCAACGTAGATAGACGCTTAATTAAAATGCCCAATCAAGGACAAAATAAACAGGAAAGGACGGTAGATTAATGAAACATATTGATGCAAATACTTAATTAGTTTTTTTTATTTACACAATAGAAATGTTTTAAAATACTTAATTTTTGTGTAAAATAAATACCATAGGGCCTGTAATTGTCAAAAACAAGTTTTAATGATCGGCGGTAAAAATAAGGGTTGCCCTGCCCAGCTTTATACATAGTTTATAGTAACATACTATATATAGAATTTTTCAGATTCTAATTAAAGTTTATATTATTAGTTATTATTATTAAAAATTATAGGTATTATTTTATACATCTGGTGGTGATACGGCTGAATTTTTAAAATGATTTTGGAAGTAAGGCATACACTCGTCCATATGATTTTTAAGTTTCTGGCATCCATCGGAATCATCCCAAATTGGACATTTCTGAAATTGAAATTTGTAAGTTAATATTTTTTATATTACTTAAGGTTTAACAAATTTACGTTAATATACATAAAATACATTAAATTAAATTGTTTACAAGGGCAGACTTGTAAACTGTATGTAAACTGACAATAAAACTCCGATAAAATAAATTCAATTCTGTTCAATGTACAAAACTAATGATTTTATCATTAATTTATTATTTGATTCGGAAGCTACCTTCGACTATTTAATTATATTTCTTCTTGTAAATTGCTTTACATATTATATGAAAATTAGTACCTGTATAATGTATTCAATTTCAAGATTATCAACATAAATATTATCTCTAAGAATAAAAAGTAGTTTCCGTTAATAGAAATTCTACTCATTGAGGTGAAGAGATCTAGGATATTACTAAAGTAAATTGTGCAATTTTTGTTCATGTCGGTCGAATTATATCATGCTTTGAATGTAGTGTCAACAGAAAAAAAATGCCAAGAAGGTAGGCACTATTTTTTCAAATAAGATACTTCATGCTTGCTGCTGATGATGCACTAAACTAGCAAATATTGTTGTATCGTGGTAAAGATTAATAAAAAAACTTACAGAAAACAAAGTAGAACTGATGCAGAAAACTAATTTGTTAGCCTCGCAAATTTGCGGCGGTCCCGGTAATGGTTTTCCGACACATATCTCTTTAGCTGAAGCGATAGCAGACTGGAATTCTGTATTACTGTCCGTCCAACTGTCGAGGAATGCTTCTAACTTCTGGTAGTCGATAGTAGTCTCATTTTCGAGAAGGTCATACTTTTTAAGCATGCACAGTTGTTTTGAGCACTATAATATATAAGAATTATGTATTAGCTACTGTTATACCATTACAATTGTATTAGAATGTAGGTAGATATATTTTAGCCCTTTAGGAAAATAAACTATATATGCAAAAATATCATAAAATCAGTGCAGAATATAAATATTGAAAGATCTAGTGAAACTGTGAGTTCCTTTTTTGCAGTTTTTATATATATGAAGTAAATCAATTTAAAACGTACATTAGGTGGACCTGATGGCCTTTCTGGGGGCCCCTCTTCATTTAACTTCTTGAATCCACATTCTTGGAAATCCTCGTCCGTGAAAAAAGGAGGTATTTTGCAACATTCGTGAGGGTTGTACTGCAAAAAATAAGCTTTTAAATGTTATGTGCATAGATGATATTGTTTGTCTTCAGGAAATTAGTACAAAAGTCCGCAGATGAAGTGGTTTGTCCTTGAAATAAGCATTTGCAATAGAGAAGAGAGAAAGAAGAAGAGGAATCCTCATTCCTATCAATCATTGTTATGTGGACAAAGTCAAACGTAGTATGTATATACTGGTCATATTGACGTCCTCGGTGGTCTAGCGGTTTAGTACACAGCTTTATTTCCAATGGTCGTGGGTTCGATACGTCGTACGTTACAAACATTTGTATTCATGGGTATGATGATTTCTATCGGTCTTGCTGTTTTCTAAGTAATAAAAAAACGTATATAAGTATTTATATCAGTAGTCTAATACCCACAAGACAAGGTTTTCTTTTTATATGCTACGATAGTGGTTAACAAACATATGATGGTAAATGATTACGGTAGCCTATGGATGCCTGAGTCATTAGGGACGTCACGTGCGTGTTGCCGACTTTTAAGAAAACTTAATATACCCATTTTGATAAATCTCAAGTTGGGGTCTCTTGAAGAAAGCTCGGCAGGTAGTTCATTCCCCAATTTAAGTGTACGTACTGGATGGCGTTGTGTGAATTGTCTAGAGATATTATTAAATAGTGTATAAATAACTTACTACGTCTTGAGGAGGTCGTCTGCACTGCTCAGGTAGATTGGGTGGGAATGGTGGTGGACCTCGTTGTCCACCCTGGAAGAACTCTTGTGGAGGACCTTGTGATGCTATTACCTGCACAGAATGAAAGTATTTTTTTAATAATACTTTTATTACTTAATAATTATACAAAACCAAATTGGTCAATCTTAATAGAATATTACAAAAATATACCTCATAATTATCTTTTTTTCTAATAAGTAATAATTGTATATTATAGATGAATAACACAGCAATGCCTAGTTCTGAAACTGAATGGTTTTATTAAAAGTATTATATTAACACAAACACAAAAGAGCACAGTCGCATTTAAGGACTCTTGGAGATGTCAGTATATTATTAAAACGTTTAATATTTTAATACTTAAGTGAAGAACTATATTTTTAAATTATAAAATCGTATTAATTCGCTCTATTATTTATTTTTGTTATACTTTGTACTCACACAAATCTTAAAAAGTTAACAATATTTTAGCACTGTAAAACATTTTATATATTTTATACTATTTTTTGATCATATAGCTCAAACTATATAGTGATTACAGGTATATAAATTTTTGTTGAACATATATTGTTCTACAGCTGGCAATAGATTAAACATATATTATTTTAATTAAAAGTTTGCTATACTTACATGAATGACTATGGTTAGAATAAAGGCTATACCGAATCCCATGGTGGTACTGTACGTGAGTACCTGAGCTGTTGGGGTGGAGTGATGGTGTGACGTATACTTCAGCAGTTATATACACGCGGACACTGTTCGTGGCCATTGTGCGGTACGGGAAATAACCAAGGTGTCGCGCCATAGAACAATAGAACGCATGTAGATGCGACACTCTATATCTAGGCATATAATTAAACTGACGGAGAATACTAGGTATTTTAGAGACACGCATACTCAGTTCTGCGGATAATACCGTGTGTGGAAGTTACGAAATAAAAATATTAGGTACTATTAAAGTAAATGCAGTTTTCTATCTATGACTGTTATTGAATTTTATTAATGTCTGTTTTAATAAAGAGTTATAGGTACTCGAAAATATGAACATATACAGTTAATCGCGATTAGAATATCAATCCGAAAATCAGGTAAAATACTCATGATACTGAACTACTATATTTTAGTAAACAAATGCGAAATCTGCAAGTAAATTCATTACAAATTGATCACTTCCCTGCGCAGTTTATAGATCACAGAAATTATTTTTCGTTTCACCTTCGCGTTTTTGAAACAAAATGGTTCAGTTTCAGAGCTTGTATTGAATTTTAGTTCATATTATACGTAGATATGGCATGGAAGTGTAAATTTGTTATTACTATATTATTATACAAGTTTGTATAAAGTAGCATAAATTACATGTTATTATAAATTTAACATTTTATTTTTTGGTAGATACAAACTTTAACATCAATTGGCAGCTCTGTAAATGTCTGCCCGTTAAGATTACTGAGACAAATTAATTAGATATTAAACAAGAGATTAAGGTTAAACTCGATAAGGTTAAATTAATTTATTGCAGCATCCCTATGGTCAACTTCCAGCGTTATGAACACACTAGTAAGTATTTAATACATTATCTTAATTTTTAACTTATGTTAACTTTACTGAAATTAATTTCTAATATTACGATTCAGAGTAGGTACTGCACGATAGATAAAAAGAATCTACTGAGCGCCCCTTTGTACAAAGTCGTCTGTATGGGTACCTCTGTCTATCTATTTCAACTGCTAAAGCTGCTGCTAAGCAGTTTACTTTGTATACTGTTTTTTGTTGAAAGGTGAGATAAGGCAGTGAATTTACAGGATAAGCATCATGACATCTTTGTTCACCGGATTAACACGTGATAACCTGACATCGTAGTGCTGTTTATGTACATAGGATACTGTAGTAAATAGGCAATAGTTATCACTTACCATCAGGCGGGGCGTCAGCTTTTTTGCTAGTTAAATTAATATGTTAATTACTATATATAAAAAATAATCTGTCAGATATATTACTTATTGATATTCGATTACAGAATAAACCTTTGGGTGAAATGTTTTGGTTTACACAAATAGTAAATAGATTTTAATGTAGAACTCGCTGACCACAATGCTAATTTTAGAAATACTATATACATATGTGTCAAAAGTCTATTAAAATAATCGATTAATAGAAAATAAATGCCATTATGATATATGTGAGGCAAAAAAACTCTTACTGTTTATGTTCATTACAATTTAGCACTGCCACGACGACAACTGACACCGACATACTGACATGCAAAATAGCAACACATATTTTAACTGTGAATGCAAATTTTTTTACATTACTCCAATACCAGTAAGTGTTTTGAAAAGGACTATAATTAAACCAGAGTGGGACGCTAGCTTCTATATCTACATATATTCAATTCAATGGTAGATATTATCTAATCAAACGAATTTCTAGAATGAAGTTCGATCAATATCATGTGAGTTTTCATTCTTCAGATATACAATTATATTAACCAGTCATTTTATCCTAAATCGCAATTCGCACGATCTTTAAAGATATAATCCATGAAGATATCGACATACTCTTTTTCTATTTATTTGTCGATCTCTGCATATTTCTTGGTTTCTCTTTACATTTTAGAGCCTGAAATATATTTTGTTTCTGGAATTTGGGTTGGAGGGCGGGGGGGGGGGGGGCGTGTTTATATATATATATATCTGATATCTGAATACATATATTATTGCAATACTCGTAAGTGTTTGGTAAATAACTATAATTAAACACAGTATTGATCGCTAACTATATATCCTAATATATAGTTAGCAATCTATATTACTAATGGTGGATATTGTACAGTCATTGGAGACTCTATCTCACATATTTCAGTTGCTAAGCTCCTTGCTTTGTAAGTAGCGTAATTAGAAGGCATAACATTTTAGTTGTCTTACCATCAGGCAGACCGCTTACTGCCATTTCAGTTACATAAAATGTTCATATTTATATAGCAAACACTGTAGGCAAATTCTGCATGTGAATCAGCTATACGGCTCTATGCGTTACCCATAGAAGTTATTTGTTAGTATTGTAACTCTGTTTTTGAACCAATATGTATGATTCTTTAATCACTTAACTTCTACATTAGCGCCATATTAATTTAGTCTAAATAAAAACTTTTTTTTATAAGTAAAACTTAAAATTACAACATTTAGCTTTAAATTACAGGGTAAGAGGTATGGCATCTTAGTTCTCAGATGTAGCAACGAATGAGTGTTATCACAGGTGTTACATGATCACGTGATATCTGTGGTACTGTTCATGTTTATAGGCGATGGTTACCATTTACCATCAGATATGCCGGCATGTTTACTATTTCAGTATGATATTATTAAACTAATTGAGTAGGTACCTAATGCCTGTACCAGATATAATCAGATTACGATGTAAGTGTGTAACATTATTTGCTAATGATTATAATTTTATTATCAATACATAATATAAAACAAAGTCGTGGTCGCTGTCTGTCCGTCCCAGTGTATGCTTAAATCTTAAAAAATACACAACGGTGTGAAGCGGTCTTTTTAAATAGATAGAGTGATTCTAGAGGAATGTTTCTATGTATAATACATTTACACCCGGGAGAAGCCCGGGTATATTATAGGTAGTAATATATATATATTAGTTTCAACAGCTACAATAATAAAAAACATATATCCCAAGATTGTTATCAATATGAACAGTATATATAATACAGTAAATTGCACGCCCTATTCTTATTGATTTCATTCATTCATGGTTCGTTGGTCTAGTGGTTTAGTAAACCGCTATACATCCGATACTCACCGGTTCGATCCCTCGCACTGTACAAAGTTTGTATTTACGAGTAGGATTGTTTGTATTGGTCTGGAGATTTACCATGTATATATATATATATATTATGTACGAATTTACAAATATATATCTAAGTATTTATATCAGTTGTCTAGTACCCACAACACAAGCTCTGCTTAGCTTGGTACTAAATGGCGCTGTGTAATTTGTTCTCTGAACATTATTATTATTATTCCATTCTTTTTTATTCATTTCTAATACTGAGAAGGATCTTACGTAATTTTATCAAAATAAATATAGTCAATTTCTATAATTTAAAATAAGACAATGTACAAGATTGTTATGTATAATGCGTTCTTTAAGATTAATACAGGATTTGTGGTTATTTAGGTACATTAACCTTGTCCGAATTGCATATAACTCGTATACTTGTTTTACGTTTCTACTGAAAACAGGGACGAAATTTACAATTCGATAAATACATAACTTGGTACATAGCTAATGCATTGATCACGTGCAATAAAGAGTACCTACATAAAATGTGTTAGTTGTATTGTTATGTTAAACATTGTTATATGATATTGTTAAAATATAAAATTGTAATTTGTAAATTACAGGTTAACAGGACAGAATGGCAACTCATGAGTATACCACTCAAAGTGATGTTTGTAGTTCTGTTTTTGTATGTAGGTAACAGTTACCGCTTACCACCAGGTAGGTCAGTTTTTTTTCATTGCAATGACATATTTTTTGTGTTTGTTATTATTAGTAAAATCTTTATTAATCTTTAATTTGAAGTATTTGAGAGTTTCAGAAATCAGCTCAGTTGTATGTCTTGCAATTGCAAGTGTGAAAGCCTGAGGTATATTTTCAATAAATATAATTGTTAAAGGAAGACCTAAAAATAAATAAATATATGTATATATAAAAGATATGGTTAGAAACGGAGCAACTATTAAGATGACTGCGAAGATAGAAAAAAATTACTCCGGGTATAAATAACACGAAATAAGAGTAACTAAATCTAACAACTTCAATCGATATTTGGCAATGTCCTCTAAATTAATTAAATCGATTTGCCGTTAAAAATATCCAAATAATTAGTTACAATCTTCTAGTGAGTCGGATGTCCTCAAGGGGACGTATCATCACGGTTGGTGAATCAGTGTCAAGTAGGAACGGGACCTTGTACAGCGTGGACAATTACGCAGGTACAATGAACCGACGATAATGCAGCTGTTGTTATTTATATGAATATTCTAAGAGCAATGAAGATAACTTGCTTTACCGCACCGTCTAGGATATACCTATATATGTATATAAGACGCCCAGCTTTTAATTAAAAGTCTTGTTAGTTAGTGTTAAATAGTGAAGCCTTCAATTTTATTACTAGGAGCCATAAAATTATAAAATTATACCGTTATCATAAATATAAATTACAATAATCTTTAGAAGTCCGTATTGTTTCAATTTCATTGAAAGATGTTTTCTTTCCTTATTAATATTATATTAGTTTTTGCCTTGATTGTAAGTATTAAACGTCAATATTCTAGTTATTTTAAAATGGAAATATTTACGCACTATTTCTGTGGATTTCGAACAATATTAATGTATTTATTACCTTAAAATGGGTATGCAATAAACTTACATTGTTGCCATTTAAAATTTGTATAAAAATTATAAAATTTACATAATTATTTTACAAATGCAAAGCTGAAAATTGTTGTAGATAAATACACACAATAACAAGATAATTATACTAAAATTGCTGAAAATGTGAAATATACCAATAGCCCTTAGTTCTATTTATGAATTTGTTTTGAGTTTGCATTCCGTTTCTTTCCCGCATTTAGGAATCACAACAAGGCCACTTATATGGTATAAAAAAAAGGTCATGTATACCATCTACCTTCCTATTGTATTCATATTATCGTTGTAGTAATCGAAGAAATCCGTAAATCTATTGGCACCCAATCATCATTTCTATTGCTACATGCCTAACAATAAACCTAATGAATAATAATGAACAATGAATTTTTTTTATCGAAACTTAAATGAAAATGAAGATATGATAGATAAAAATAAAGATGCTTCCTTATTTTTTATTAATTTCTTGTGTTAATTTTTTTTATTAAATAGATAATATGATTAATAAATTTCTAACATTTCCATGCTGCGTTGGGACATTTCTGTAAAAATAAAAATATTTGGTATTAACTATAATAATTCAATTATTAATTCATAAAAAATATTCTGATTAATTTTTATTTATTTATGATAAATAAAGAATTATCACAATATTTCAATTGTATTATATATTTTTTTATTTATTCTCTAAACATACATACCTACATATATTTATTATTGGATTTTCAGTGTAAAACTGAATTGACTAATGAAAATTTAGTAGCTGCTGAGTCTTACGTGCAACTGTGATGAAATCGAGAGTAAATTATATTTACTGTTGTATATCCACTATATGTCTCCATTAATAACTATTTATTTATTAAAATATAATCACCTTCAGCATAGCAATTCCTGTACATGTAAACACGTCATACGCCTTGCAAGGTTCGGTAAGATATTGTCTAACATCTTTATCGACACAATCCTCTATAGCCTTGTTGATGGCACTCGACCAGTCCTTGTGCTTGTCGGCAAATTGCAACAAGTGATTTCTGTAGGCTTCCTTGTTCAATGTGTTCTGGTTGGTCAAAAATCCAGACTTGTCGAATACACATTGTACGTCACGACACTAAAAGCATAAAACTTGTATTTTTTATGAAATTAGAATGACAAACGAGATGCTGCCCACATTAGATATACATACTGTTTCAGAGCAGCTTCCTCCCACGTACACTTAGATTGTGGGATGAACTGACTGCCTAGGTTTTCTTGAGAGTTTACAGCATGGGAGTTTTCAAGAAGGGTATATTAAAGTTTCTGATGGGTATGCAATGCGCACGTGACAGCTTGGTGTTTCAGGCTATGTTTTCTATAAGATATGCAGACTGTTTACCATCAGACGGGCGGTATGCTTGTTTTAGCCACCATCGTAATATATAAAAAATATAAGTAAAGAAAGAATAATAATGAAAGTAGACTGTAAAAGTGCATTGGTCTAGAGTATCTTAGTCTCACTAATTGAATTAAGTAAGCCGCTTGGCGGTTATAATAGGTGAAGACTGAAATACTGTGTTTTCAACCATAGTATAATAAGATACATAATACACGTGATTCAAATAATATAATATGCAATGTAATTAGTTTATATCAATCTATGTATAAAAAAGAGTTATGAGTGACTAATCATACAAGACCCAAATAAAAAAGTATATAAATCTTCATTTGAATTCTGAATTACAAAAGGTGTGGTACGGTAAACCAAAAAACTAATACAACCTTAAAATTTTTATTGTTTTGATAAATATACTCACAGGACCTGGTAACTTTGGATTGGAACATTCAGACAATGGCTTTGGAGAGCCCAACTCTGGTATATTACAGCATGCAGATATGGGTTTCTGGAAGATACAGTCTTGTTGAAAGAAAAACAGAAAAAGTATAATACAACAAACATTGGTACTAGTGTCATATTACAGAAACTATAAAAATAATAACAATTAACTAAGACTACAGTATAAGTCTGTTTACATTATAAGGTATCTCCCCTTAACTTCACATTATACGTCTTTCGATGTCTCCTATTAACTTCTATCAACAAGAAATATAGATAGTACACTGTCAAATTACACACAAAGCCACAGTAGCTTTGTCCATTGAAAATTTTGACCATGTATCAGATAAGAATTATTGCTATCTCTGTATAAAGAAATTTATTTTGACCGACTAACTAACAACCAACAGCTATTGGGCTAGAAACAAAATTTTATTTCAAAAACGAAACAGTTGACAAGTATCAAAGTTTAAAATGCGTAATTGATTTAAATGTTCAATGAGAATAAATGTTTTCTTAATTGTATATTTCTGTTTAAAGTCAATAAACACTATAAAAATAGTATGTTATATGTATTTCTATGTTATAGTGATCAAACTGTCATCAGTAAGTCAAGGTATCTTTCACTATCATGCAATTCATAAATAAACTTTAATGTTTATTTTTGATTGTATTAATCAACTTACCAGAGTCGCTCCTTTCCTTCCAAGTACTTCAATCATATCAGCATTAATGGCCTGAAATGAAGTATAAAGAAAAATAAATTGCTAAATATATCGATTCAATAATAGTTAATGTTTTTGGAAGTTAGAAGAAAAGAGATCTTGGCGTAAGAGGTCCACCAAAATTTATAATAAAACATATTGTCGATCGGTATCATTTAGTTAATAATATTTATTACATTTATTTTGTATAGTAATCTAGCTAAAACTGGGTATATATATATATATACCATATATGGTATTATGGTCATTATTCCAAAACTTTTATATTATAATTATGATTATTTTCCATCTTTTATAAATTCATTACCACAGGGATCATTTTTTCAAGTGAAGGAGCATTCTATTTGTGATTTTCAGTGGTTATTGATAGAGTTTCATAACTGAAAACTATGTATCATAATGTATTTTTTATGATTTTACAACATTATATTATATTTTCCATAATTCAGAAAATAAGAGGAGTGAACTGCTCAGTAACATAACTAAAATAGATTTACTGATTGTTTGACCTAATGCATACCCTGTTTATAAAAATAAATAGACAGACTATAGTAAAACAGAAAATTCACTATATAACATAATTCAATACTGAAGAGACATAAAGGAATTACGTGATTATAACGTTTACTGTGAATCATGTTTTATACCTCTGTGAATATCATCGTTTCTTCAGTAAATTAGTACACATGTTTTCTGTATTAAGTAATTAAATAAAAAAATAAATGTCACGCTACAGTTTCGTGTGACTCCATGAATCACACCGTAATATATAAGGATTTCTATTCTCAAGTTTTTAATTTTATGGAAATATACAATTATAATTTTAATGAATAATATCTTTGTTGTACTATAATTACGTTGCCAAAATATTAGAATTTATAACATAAACTTCAGTGAACAAATAAACAACAATTTCTCTGAGCAAAATTAGTACGAATTTTTTTATACCATAGGGGACAAATGAATAAACAAAACAAATAAATTTAAACTTATTAAACGGACGCAAATGAAGAGTTTATTTGTATTAAAATGTCATTAAGAATTTACTAACAACTGCATAATAACGTTAAGAGTACTTGTAACGCAACCTAATATATATTATTTTGTAATAAAAAGTATTATATTATAATATTTTTTTGTAATTCAACATTTATATTTTACTTTAATTAAAAAATTAAATTAAAAATTATGTCACACTGACAACTTTTTATACTTAATCAAAAATATTTAATATAATTTTTACTTACTGATATTATTAAAATAAATGCCAATTGTAACTTATACATTTTTGATCACTAGTAACTACACCACTGCTCTCACTGCAGTAATTATAACATGTAAACAAACATTGTTGCAGTAAGAAATATTATATATATTATTAGAATTCTCTTGATAAATAAGACATTATCAACAATAATGTCAAAAGTTCACGTATCTTCAAGTTGCCATACATTACGATTAAATCGGGAATTCCTGGTTTCAGTCTACGTTGGTTTGAGTCCCTACGAAGAGACTGGCGGGATAGCAGTTGTCGCGATTTCCAGTATATAATTTTTTTTATTCATTTTTCAGCCATGTTCACAGCTAGCCGCCTCTCATCTGAAGGCGACGCATGTTGTATGGCTAGTCTGACGTAATTAGTAAGTAGAACTACGGGTACAACTTAACCCGAGAAGCATAGAAGCAAGAATGCGAGTAAAATTTTTTTTCCGTTCTGATGTATAAACTTTTAATTCCTGAAAATCCATCATCACAGTTGGTCAGCCGTACGAGTATCTACATAAAGTATATAGCCGTGTTTTGAAATCGGTATACTTTATCAGTTTTATTAAAAACAATGAACTGTTGTTTCTAGAGAAATTGACAACGAATGTCGATTAGGTACCAAGAATATTATTAGTTCACATTTGGAGTTTATTCTAAGAAAAACTAATATAAATTTAAGCAAAATAATCAATATAAGGAAAATTAATATTAATTATAATTATTATATTTCGAGAGACGAAAAAGAGGCAATTATTTAGATATTTCTTTTAATTTTAAATAAAAACTTCAATAACAGCTTGTACCAATTAAATATGAATTAGACAAGTAGTTATATATTTTGTTTCTCAGATAAAAACCGACCTCCAATTTCAAAAATTACAAAATTAGTATGTAAATACTATATTATGCTTCCTGTAATTTACGTTATTTTAAAATTAAATGTAGCGATAATTTGTACAATGTAAAACGATTTATTTGTTGTTGTATTTATGCAGATTTTTTCTCATTCTAACTCAGTATAGGTAAATATAGTTTTTTTATGTTAACTACAACGGCAAACAAGCTTACGGTCCACCTGATGGTATGTAGAAATGGTCGACTATCTATATACCTGAATAGCATCAAGTCGTCGTGTTATATCCGTGTTACTGCACGTATATTGCCATTTCAGAAGACTATGGTGTCAAGCCTCTATATCCTGTAATTTCCCTAGTATATCTTATACAAACCAAGGCACAACTTATAAATCACGCTGCTTGAGGTCTGTAATAGGCGAGATCAATGTACACACGGAAACTACGGTAAAACAGAACAGTGTTAGGCGTTCATATGGGCTGTATGCTTGTTTGCTATCATTATGGTATAAAAAAAACTAATTGTAGTATGCCTGAAGTAGGTATGTAGATATATTTAGAAAATTTGTTGTTTAACTTTAACAATGACTTGATGCATTAAGATAATTTATACGTTTTATATCCATCTTGTTGTCTAGTTTGATACAACTAAACACGAAAGCAACAAAGACGAAGCAATTTAAATGATGCGACAGAATTCATTGAACGTTTGATAGATGGCGCTACTGACCATATCAGAAATAAACATGAATGCATTTATCTGTATAATAATGCACTATAAATAAAAAAATAAATTTAAGTTCAAAATACTCGGCAGTTTAATAAATTCCAGGTATAAATTTGGAACTAACTTTAGGCTGTGGTTTTCTCCATCATATATTAACTAGTTGTAGTGCTCTCCCTATATATACTTATCTATTAACTGTCTATAAATGTAAAGATAATCTCGTTAGTTTAAAATCATTTTTGAAGAGATTAGAGATATTGAAAATAGTTTCTGTACTAATATAACGTAGGCAAATGATAGGTATAAGTTTGTGTGAAACCCTTAATGTTTCTATTCTCAATTTTTTAGTTGTTACTTCACCCAGCAACAGATATTGTTATACAACTGAATATATAGAAAAAATCATCCAGTGCGGTTATAAAAACTATACATATGTGACAAATATTAAAAGTTTTTTTACCCAACAGTCCTCTTGCTTGAATAAGAGATGTCTCTGAACATTTTGCTATGAAGATTTTCACAATTGCTTATATTTGTTTTAGTTTTAATATTCTCAAACATATAGTTATGATTATTTAAGTTATGTTGGTATATTTAATTTATTAATTGTGATAGGAACAATAAGCAATAAATAGCACTGTGTTGATTGATACTAAATATAAAAAGACCTACTAAATATCACCAATAAGAATACTATACCAATATGTAACATCGTTTCAGGATATAAAAAGGTTCATGTCAACCATTCCAGTGTGATCTCATGCAAGTTACGAGTAATTGTAGGTCATAACTACACGCCGAACTTGTTCAGGGATGAGTCAAATTGCCTCTAGAGCTGAGGTCTATATTAGAGCGATTTTACCGTTTATTCAATAAACTATTGTATTTGTTTTAGAACATGAAATAATATAATAACTAAAAATACATAAATTTACTATAAATGTGAAATGTTTTTGTTTTTTATTTGCTACTATATGGGATCTGATTGAATTATCTCTATATATTATATAAAAAAAGTGTAATCGTGACGAGGCGTATGTTATATTTTTTCATCATCATCATTCATGAAAAAGAAATTAAGAAAATAATAATAGAATATTTTATTAAATATGAGTCTGCAAAGGAACATACCTGTGACAGAAAGACGATTGAAGTAGGAGGGGACTTTTTTAGCGCTCATGTTAAAGGGATGAAACAAATAATTTCTTACAAACTTTCAACACGCATCCTTCAATTGTATTAATTAGTTTATAATCATAGATGACACTATATAGATAATTTGTTTATTGTATAGTTTAATTTATTAAGGCGTCTCTAAATGTACATGCAAATGAAGTCGCAGACACCACTTGTTTATAATGGGTAAAAATTAGCAACCTACAAATTATTATGTCTCCACTATCAAATTGAGTTTCCGCTACATCGCTGAACTAGGGGCCGTAGCTTTACATAGGACAATTTACGCAGCTTTTACGCCCAAGAGGCACGCACAAGACGTGCAGTGATCACTTATTGGGCGGCCCATACGGTTTATGTGCCGTAAACTCGACCATTCAACGGCACGAGTGGGATTTGCCAATTATGAGATAAGGTGGTGACGCATTTCTATCAGAGTTTGACTATTTAACTTGTATGATCATTGATACATTTATAGATGATAGCAATATATAGCAAGTATAAGTTTATTTGCGGACAATGTTATAATTTATTTTTCATACTGCTTTCTTGATATATGATAGCGTAGCGGCTTTTGTATTGATTGCCGCATGCATCCTCATGTAAAGTGCGAATACTGTAACTACCATATAGTAATTTTTGTAGCTGTGACGTGGTCGAGTGGAATGAGTAGTCATGCTCACTAAAATGTCCAGACATGTGGCGGCGTGGTGGGCCGGGTCATTGGGCTCCCTAAAATATGGTCGAGCGTAGTGATGGCTGGCTCATCCGTCATACTCGTGAACGAGTGCTGCTTGTAGGGACTGGTCTGCTCTTATCACTACGACTGATTTAATCTTATTGTGTTTTTATATTTGAGCCTAAATAAATTAGTGCTGGTTCGTAGTTTGTATTCACACGTTTCGACTTGTAAAATGTGAACTTACAAGGATTGTTTAAAAGAGCAACACACAAGTTTCTTGCTTATTCTTCTTGTGATGAGACAGCTTTCCGAATAAGCGGTAGATTTAAAAAAATGTTGACTATTCAAAAGTGCTTAAATTAAGTTTATTTGAATAAATGATTTTCTATTCTATTCTATTCTACATCTAGATTTTTTTATCGGAACAAGTATTTATATAGTTTATTAGCTTATTATATCCATCTATCAGATAGCATTATAAACTAGTGTTTTACTAGCCATTTTACTACAATAAATAGCCATTATAGCCGGATTTGAAATCAGAACTTTAAAAGATCGAACCAATGATGGAAACACTGTTGATATATTACATTAATTGGACAGGCGGTGGTAGAGTCTGCCATTAGTATCTGAAATCTTAATCAGTCAAATGTGGATAAAAAATAAGAATTTAATAGTATGTTCAGTACCCACAATACAAGCTCTGCTTAGCTTAGGATTAGATGCTGAGGTGAGGGGTGCTTGGTGAATTGTTGTGGATTTTTATTTTTATTTAAAATATCGGAAATAATTTTATAAATTATTATTATTATTATTACAATTATGGGAATAGTATACTGTAATTATACACATATAAGAAAGATGAAAGGAAATATTATTGGTTACATTGTTGGTAAATGTCCATTCTGCAAGAGAAAAGTAATAAAATACATATATTTTAAATTAATAGTTTTCATTGACATAGTATATCCACTTTTTTTTTCTATAATATATGAAAATCATATTTTTTTAGCTATCCTATTATGTCATTTACACTAATAGATTTTGTTCTGAAGCGATGCAATTCATCTTATTGATGGTGAGAACGAAGCCATCTCAATCCCCTTATGTCTAGGACTATATTTATGACTCGTAAACGTAAACGCAAATCGTTACCAGAGACGAGATAGTTACGACTTGTTTTATTTGTAAAGAAGACTATAGTCATTAAGTTAATACTAAATACCGATTTACTTTTTTTATATTTAATATAATAACATATATCGTATGAGATCGCATGTAAAATTTGTAGATAATATTTCAGAAAATTAATAATAGTCACTATTGAAGACTGAAAATTGTTCTGAGGTCTAAGGTCATAAATATGCAAGTGGTAACTGGACAGTATAACATAAAACTTAGGTACATATTTTCACCATATTCTTTAATTTTTAGAAGAGGTTTACAATTAACGAGATTTAAAAAAAATATAGGTATCAAGAAACACATAAAATTAAAAAAAGGAATAACAACTACAATTGACAAAGTTAGCAGTAACAATATACCTCCTATTAATACATACCTATATTATAAAAGGTTTATTACTAAAAGCACAAAGCTTCCATTTACAAAATTATTACGGCTTTATCATCTTTTGTGTAAATATAATTTT